TGCAAAGCCTCTCAATTCTTATTGCCCCAGATTCTTACTACCTTAAGTACCTCCCCTATAATCAGGAAGCACATGTCTCAGCAGAAGTCTTCTTTGAGATGACAGCATTTACCCCTAACTCTATTGCCTACGCTTTAGGCAACCACTTGCTGAACATCAGAGGGAACATCAGGTACTTTTTCAAACAAGAGGAACCATCATATGTCTCATTTATCTGGGCTCTACTGGGTTTATTAACAGGCGTTACATTTAGAAATCTGATAGTGCCTAAAAACATAGAAAAAGTCTTAGAGGACCCAGAAGACCTCATCTGATGTCTTCCAGAATCAAGGCATTTTACCTCACGATTATCCTTTACAAAACAAATCTGTCTAGAGCATTTCAAATGTTAGAGAAATAAAAGCATTATATGAATTAAGCACAACAGGAAAGGACATTTTTAATCAGACATATCAAGACTGCACCAGTACTGAAGTCTGAATAAAGAAGGATATTTCAGTCTTGCTGCTCAATTAGTCCAAAGGTCTTTGGAGACTGTCCTGGGTCCAGTAGTAGCAGTCATTTTTCTCCTTCTCAGCAGCTGGTGCAGTGCTGTGTTTCTGACTTTCGGCCTGGGAGCAGTGCTGATAACACTGATGTTTCTAGTTACTGCTAAGTAATGTTTAGTCTGACCAAGGACTTCCTGAGTCTCGTGCTCTGCCAGGGAGGAGGGGAAGCCAGAATGAAGCAGACACAGGACACCTGACTCAAGCTAGCCAAAGAGGTATTTCATACCAGAGCTCATCATGCCCAGGATGCAGAACTGGGGGCAGTTACCCAGAAGGGCTAGATCACTGCTTGGGTCAGGCTGGGTATCGGTCAGAGGGTGGTGAGCGGTTCTATTCTCTCCCCTTGTTATTTCCCTTATCATTATTATTATTATTATTATTGGTGGTAGCAGTAGTGGTTTGTGTTATACCTTAGTTACTGGACTGTTCTTATCCCAACCCGTTGGAGTTACATTCTTTCAATTCTCCTTCCCATCCCTCTGGGAGCAGGGCGGGAAGAAGAACGGGGAGTGAGAAAATGGCTACATGTGGTTTTTCTGAATTACTGACTGGACTTAAACCACGACAGAGGCTAAAGTGTTTCATTATGTTGAGGAATTATAGGGCACACAACTTACAACTCCTTGCACAGTCAGAAGTTGTAGCTGAACACTATGGTATCTTTTGAAGGCTTCTCAAGTATCTCTCCCATTTAGCATGTATAGAATCATAGAAAGGTTTGGGTTGAAAGGAATCTTAAATATCATCTCCCCCCTCCCATGGGCTGAGACCCCTCCTGCTAGTCCAGGCTGTTCAAAGCCACATGTACCTTGGCATCTTCTTCACTGAAGAGTGAACACCATGGGGAGGTCACATTTTTTATAGCTAACTCATATGAGCAGGTGAGAAAAGCCACTTGAACAAGATCTGCAATAAAGCCAACAAACAAGCAAAGGATAAACCACTGCCACACAACTAGCAACTTTCAACTTGCCTCTAAAATGAAATGTAATTACAATTCAGCAATGCAAACAATGTAAGCCAACAAATAATCGCCAGCCTAAAGGCCAAACACCAAAAATAAGCTGTTTTCAACCGGACTGAAAGTCCTAATTTTGGACTCCAATTTTCATGCTACAAGAGGAAAACAACGGCATTTCACACCAAATGCTGCACATCTGCTGATGTACATGCTATACGTATCAACTACTAGTGTGTCCCCACCACCACAAAAGACAGAGAAAGTCAACACGGAGAAGATCTGTCTGCTCAGTACAGAGCAGTCTTTCACTACCACTACTCTACCATCCACATTACCAGCTAAGTTTGAACAGCAGTGTGCTGCAATTTTGGGACTGTGGCTTTAGGGACATGCTAGAAGCAACAGCAACACTTATTTGGGGGGATCCCCTCGTCACTTGACCGTACAGTGAAACTTAGCACTTCTATTCTGGACAAGTGAAGTTACCACACGGACACACAGGTCCACCTTTTCCTGAGGTTATTTGTGTGCTTGAACTGTAACAGGTTTTAAAAAAGCTAAACCTGTTCAACAAAGCAGAATTAGAATGACAACACTGATTTGCCTCCAAGCAAAGGAAAAGTTGATTTCACCTACAGAAAAGGTATTTTCAAACACCTTTTTCTTCTGACCACTAACAAGCATTCATTACTGCAATACCAATATATATTTACTGCCTATGCAATTAATCAGAGACTTTATCTCCCTTTTATATCATGATTTTAAGTTACCTTCTCTCCATAACTACACATCTTGGAAGCCATTCTCAAGCAGAAGCCACTTGTAACAGGCATTCATTACCTGCATTTAGCTCCTCCACCGGCAAACACAAGGCACTTGCAACCTTCTCCACGACCTTCTTCATCTCTGGCCCCTCTTTGAAGGCCTTCACCTGGCACATCGCCGTGGCGTTCTCTTCCACCAAGGCTACAAACTTGGCGCAGTGATCAAAAAATCGCATCAAGGAATCATTAACTTCCACCTCTGCTTCTGAAAGCAAACACAGGTGTCAGGGACGCAGTCAGACACCTCCCCAGGGGCAGTCCACCCTCCACAGCGGTGTTCCTATAGGGGGAAAGCGGGGTCCCCCTCAGCCTGGGGAGGCGGGACATGGGGCTGGCCTCACGGCTTCCCTCAGCCCCGGGGCAGCGGGGAGGACGTGGGGGCTCCCTCAGCGAGAGCCGGGGTCGGTCAGGGAGGGAGCAAGGCTCGCTCAAGGCAGGGGGGCAGATGTGCGCCCGGTCTTACCGTCGCTGCCGAGCCCGAAGGACGGCCCGAGCCCGCGGCGGAAGGCGGCGCCGCTCTGCAGGCAGCGGTGCTTGGAGCTGCTGGCCAGCACCAGGCGGCGGCGGGCGGCGAAGAGAGCGGGGAAGCGGGCGGCTAAGCGGCGGGCCAGGTGCTCCATATCGCGCCGGCCCTGCGGCGCCAGCCTCCCGTCGAGGCTCTCGTTATACCACATCTGCCAGGCGGCTAGGTCAGCAGCGACGGGGCAGGCTGCTGCGGCAGACCCTGCGGCAGACCCTGCGTCAGCGGCTGGGCGGTGGCGGAGGAGGCGGGCGTGCAGGTCGCCCAGGCGGCGGATCTGCTCGGCCGTGGGGTAGCGGGTGCCGTGGCGGAGCAAGGCGCGGAGCTGCAGCGGAGCGCAGGAGGGCGGGAGCCCTGACCCGACCGCGGCGGGACCCAGAGACAGCGGGTCGCGCACCAGGTACGGGTTTACATCCTCGTAGCGCGACTTGGTGCCGAAGTAGCCGTTCAATCCCGCGCTCGCCACCGCCAGCAAAAGGAGAACGGCAGAAAGGAACGCAGCTCCCACCCGCAGCGACGCCATAGCGGCAACTGCACAGCTCCTGCAGGAAGAGGCGGAGATGCACCGCCCTCCTCCCCTTCGCCTGAGGGGCCGCGCCTCAGCCGGGCGGGCTAGCAACCGGATGGGGGGGGAGGGCCCCGTATAGAGCGGCGGGTACCCTCCGGCCGGGCTCGGTCTCTCAGGGCTGTACCTGTGTGTTAAAATCCCGCCTTTATGACTCGTTTATGGATCCTCAGGATGCTAAAGACCCCGATTCTCACCCCCACTCTTTTGCCTGCCTTGGGTGGGCAGCAGCCAGACGAGGCGTGAGGCAACGGGGAGGTGGCGGCTTCCCTCAGGTCATGGTAGCTCCCCATAGGAGTGAGAGTGCAAAAAAAAAAGCCTTTTTGATCCATTTATGGCCCTCATGATGCTAAAGACCCCAATATTCACACACACACACACATACACACACACCCCTTTGTGCTTGCTTTGGCAGGGCTTGGCCTTCAACAGGGGGTGCATCATCCTCCACACTGGCCAATAAGTTGGGTAAGCAAAGCTAAGAAGGGGCTTTTGAGGGCATTTTTTTTTCTCTTTTTGCCCCAAAGCTGACAAATTCCAGTTAACAGTTTAGGGAGCATTACTGAGCCGGGGGGAGGATTGTGGGTCACTACTGCTGGGGATGGCATTGCAGATCAAGGGCAGTGCAGGATGTCAGGGTTTTGTAACAGGGTTTATGTGTTCCCAGCAGGAGTGAGTTCATGTGGAAATAGGGAGCTGTGGCAAAGTTGAACATGTGGGAGGTGAAGTTTGCAGCCAGGGATGCTTCCAATCAGGAGTCATGTCCAGAAAGACACCAGTATTGTTTATAATCCTCACTTCCCACTGACATCACCGGTGGCACAGTGTGATGGCATTGTAATGGCCTATACATAAAAGCTTAGACAGGCTTAGAAAAGCAAAGGCATCCTGTGGAAAAGCCTGAGCCTGCCAGTGATGTGATGGTTATAAAACACTTTGAGCAAAGGCAAGAAAAAACCCCATCCCCAGTGCTGATGATACCCATTTTAAAGAAAACCCTCACTACTAAATAGGTAGCTAAGGAAACTGAGTGACTTGTAAGAGAACCAAGGCTTGAGGTTAACAAAAGCATCTCAAGTCTTGGGAAGAGGGCTTGGCTTTTGACCTATAGCATGTCCTCATGAGACCTATGTTTTATATACAGAAAGATCAGCTAATTTGCACCCTGCCTACACAGTCAGGCTATTGTGCATACAATTGAGAATTTTCATTGAATAAAGTTTTTCATGATATATTTAGTCAACTAAAATCTGTCTCCACCTCAGTAAAAACCGAAACAAGGTGTTAAGGTAATGATATGACAATGTACAAACAGTTAGGGTAGCAAAACCTTTAAAGCTGAGAGAGAAAGGGGAAATGAAAGTATAAGTATGTGTTTTAAAGTTTCTGGACAAAGTTAAGGTCTCTCTATGGTGGTGTAACTTAGCTCTCTCCAGTGATACTGTGCATGACTACATTGTCATATTTCCTAGTGCTTTGGGAAAGGAAACAGTACAGTATGCAAACTAAACTGCCTCGCTGAAGGCTTTAGCTTGGTCCTCTGTTGTGTGAAAGGTTACGTCTTACCATGTATAATGGAGACTTTCAGGGTATATAGCAAAAAATTTGGCAGTGAGAATTTTATTCTGTATGTTTCGTAGAGATGCAACTAATAAGGGGCTGGATTTGTGATCTCTTCATACCTAGCAGCAAGTATGTTAGCTGTCTACTGATTAATTCCACTTCAGTGATAATGCACTCAGTTGTTCTGTTGGGACTTGTGTTTGAGCTGCATCTGGGGTTTAGTGGGTGTAGTGCCAAGCACTTCACTGTTTCTGTCGCCCTTTGTGGCCTGTTCATCTGAGCCTTCCACAGCATGTTGCTTTTCTTGTGCTGGGATCTTGAGGCAGTTGTAGGTAAGTACCAAGCAAATACAGCGCTGAGAGGCAGACAGGTTTGGCACTCGTAACATAAGTCTTCTAATCAGTAACTTCAGGAAAGAGGATCAAAGCCTGATTCTATATCAACACACAACAAACACATACAACCAACCAGTGTGTTTCCGTTCCTAGACTTTTATTTTGTATTTAAAATATTCCAAGAAGTGTTTTCATGCACAAGGTGATTTTACACCAGCATTCTGGAAGGATTTCTGGATATATGGAATATGCTCCTGGACAGCATCTACTAGCTTCCTCAGGAACTGATGCACTTGGCAGTCCAAGACCCTACAAGACCCTACTGCTGTCTTTAAGCTACCTTAAAGGATCTGAAAGGAAGGGGGACAATCCCATGATGATTCAGAAGAGGTGGAACACCCACCCTGCCTCTTTTTAATTGCTAACCCATTAAGCAGATAAACTCTTAATGACTGCATATGCATTTCACTGGTTATGGAGCTCTGCTGGAAAGGGCTCAGGTTAAACATAAAAAATACAAGTTTGTGCAACAAGGTGAGGCTAATAAGTAGTTATTGTTTAATAAAATAGGACATTGTCTATTCTAAACCAGTGGTAATTCAAAACCAGTGAGACAAACAAAAGTATTGTGATCATTTGTCTAGTACAGCTCTTTTGGATGTAAGTTGTTCTTACAAAATTGTTATTATTCCACCTCATTAAAAACTGAAACAAGGTGTTAATGTAATGATATGATAATGTGCGAACAGGGTAGTCAAAGCTAAAGCTGAGAGAGAAATGGGAAATAAAAGTATAAGTATGTGTTTAAAAGTTTCTGGACAAAGTTAAGGGCTCTCTGTGGTGGTGTGACTTAGGTCTCTCCCAGTGATATTGTGCAAGACTATATTGTCATGTTTCCTGGTGGCTAAGTAATTTGGAGTAATTTTCTCCCCAATTTCAGAGTGAGGAAAATGCAAATACTCCATTGTCATTTCATATGATCTTCTTTAATTTACATTAGGCATACCTAACCATTTAATGTAATTTCTAGCATATCATCTTTTATAACAAAAGCAGCACAAAAGTGCACAGTGCAGTTTTCAGAAAATACTATTTTAAGTTGTTTTGAAAACTATCAAGGGTATTTTATAAAATACTAAGAAAAATATAAATTCCATCTTCTGCATAATTATTCACTGTAACAAATCTGTAATTGGTTTTAGTAGGAAAATGACTTGGCATGTTACAGCAGTGTGTACATGAGCTTATATGTGTGAGGGAGTAAAATAACTCATACGGTTTTTCATTAAAGATCATAAATATTTAGATTTTAAAAATGTGACTTTGAAAGGCAATTAAATAAAAACTGATTTGTGATCACAGTTTCTATGGAATTCTGTGTCCTGAACTGTCAAGTGAAGGCAGTCTCCCCCCACTGTGATCCCTTACTTGCTCTATCACATCATATTAAATTGCCACATCTTAGTATATCACATTCAGCTATGTATCTTGAATGGCTTTCACAAATTTTTTTTTATGTATCTATTAAGATGGAGAAAATGTTATCCATCACATATTGTTCAGTGAAGAATCTCCTCTATTTCCCATTCTAATATTTGAAAACATCAAGAAAAAGAGTTGCTTTTACATCATGTTTCATATTTGATGGAGTCTGAGTCCATAGAGGCCTTTGTGGCCACTGGTTACACAGGAAATTTTTTAACACTGCTCTCAGCTGAAAATGTTGCTTTGTTTGAATGGTTGCACATGAATCCAGGCTCTTTTCAGAATTTCTGTGCATCGTGTTTGTCACCTTCAGAAATAAAGAAAGACCAGATGATTCAGATGCATAGTGCCTACGCAGCCTAAGTTGAGGTATGTGAACATGATTGCTCAGATCAACAGAGACAAACAGGCCAAGTGTGTTAAAAATTGGATAGATACCAACCTGCCTGATGCTGCTTAGTCAAATGCAGCCTCTGGGTGCTGAAAATATCATTTTATCCCCTTCAAAGCTTTTCCTCTCATAGAGCATTACCTTTTCTCTGGAGAACAGCTCCACTTCATACCCCAAAACTCGGGACAAAGCATTTACATAGCAGGCAAATTGTAATTTTCACCCTCTGCAAGTATTGTGATGTCCTGTTTTGGTCCTTGATGTGTCTTCTTTATGTTTAAATTAGAGGCCAAAAAAAAAAAAGGTACAAACACGCCTGCTCCAAATGCAGCCATATCAAATTGCTCTCTTTGGTTCTCCTTTATCTTTGTTTCTTTCCATCCTCAAGTATGGTGATGCTGGGGGATGGTTAATTCATAAGTCACATTTCCATTCACTAGCACTTTTTTATTCTCTTAGAGTGCAGTGAAATCAGTTTCAAAGAAATGTCCTGAATAATTTCCTTATTTATGCTTCTTCTATGGGTTTTCCTTAGAGGTGCACTGATTTCCAAACCAAGCTATATTTGAAATGCAACTTAGAAAGTCAGTTCACTAACCTGTTCTGAAAACGCTTTTTTTCTTATAAAGCCTTCCTGTTCCTCAGTACTTTGATGGCCTGTAATTAATGATGATACATTTCTTTAGCAGTCAAAGGGCAGAGAAAACATTATATTAATATGTCCCCAGCTGAGTGTATGCTATTTGCTGGTCTTTTCAGGAGTAAATAAATGCTCCAGTTTCCAATCTGAGCATTCAGATAATTTATATAGTACAAAATTCACTGCCTGTAGATGTAGAAGCAACAAAAGGTTCTAGGTTTCAGCTCTCTGTATAACATTTTTAAAACCAGTGATAGTAATTACATGGTCCAGAGAGGAAAAAGTGTTGGCCTCTAATTTTTGTTCAGTTTACTTTCTCATGCAACCTGTCCTTTCATTTTCTTTACTTTCAAGGAACAGATCTCCAAGCACAGATCTCTTCCTGCTGACTGGCAGTATTCCTTGTTATCTGATGGCCAGCTATGGTTTTAAGAGAAGAAATAAGGTAAGTTTTTGTCAGCCTTTGAGCTTCACAGTCCTAAAGTAACAGGAATGTAAGAAACACAGGAATGGTGGTATTTGGACATCCTGGTCTCACTGTGGTGTGTCATCTTCAGAATAAGACCTGAAAAGCTTCAGCAGGGGTAGCTCAGAGCAGAAGGATATCCTCTATTCATGTGGTGTTTAGTTATTCTCTGTAAGCAAGCAAGTTTCAACTTTTGAAGTCAGAAAGCAAAGAAAGCAATATCCAGAGGCACTGCATGCTCCAGACCACCAAATTTCATCTTATTCAACTGGATGAACCCTTCACACATGAAGTTGATGGCTTTCAGCAACAGTGGAAGGGCTGCAGGCTGGGGCTAGGCTCAGCCTGGCCAAAGCACAGATAATAGCCCGGGTATGAAGATCTACATAAACATGTGTTACTGTTCTGACTCTTGGCCTGGGCAGATGGCATGAGGCAGAGTAGAGACAGCCTGATGGTGGATTTGATCTGGCATAAAGAGGGTCAGAAATATGAGAGGGTATGGTGGAGACTCAGAGGAGGTGAAGGGTGTGGGCTTGGAGCTACTCAGCCTGCTTTTGGGTCATGTCTTCACACTTGGAGACGATGCACCAGCACATGAGCTTGGGAGTTTCTTGTGTACTCTGTAACATCAATGATAACTGCTTTCATTTTTCCCACAGGGAGGTTAACCCTATTCCCTGCAAACTTTACTGGCTCGCAAAATATTGCCTCACAATTGTGTTTGTGCACAGCAAGCAAAGCTGATCTGCTGCTGCTGCTGGGCTAGATAGTGGCATCCAGAAACCCAGGCTGTTGATCCTCTGTCAGTTGGCATCACATCTCTGCCTTCCAGTGCAAAGCCATGTCAGCAGAGTGGCGCCCATTTTGGATGATGTTTTTGTACTGTAGTTGCAAAATCACTTTAATCTTGGGGCACTGCCAGATCCTCAATGCTCCCTTTTGACACCTAGGCTTTTCAGAGGCACTTTCTGTTCTTTTGGGGAGTCTTTTGTCCTCTATACATATAAGCAGGGAGCAGGAACACATTCGTTGCTCATATGTAAAGTAATGGTGTTTTCCTTAGCTCATGCCACATTTTGGTTAGCAGACAGAGAACTGGAAAAGAAACAGTACATCCACTGATGACTATTGCTTTTCACAGAAAGGGTTGAATTCAGATCTTGTCCAGTCTATCCTAATGGAGAGATACTCCTAATACTTTTGGTTGCTACCTGCCTTGCATGTCATTCCAGTTTGGGAATTGCCGCACCGCGACTTACCAACAGTTGGAAATGAGAGGTCTAGGACTGGGCTGCTTGGTCTGGAGATCACCTTTCTGGTCCCTCCCTCCCATTGCAAAGGGTGGCTGCTCTAAAGCTGCTCAGTGTGACTCCCTTGAGGTTGGGTCAAAGTCCTTTCTCAAGCACCTTAGGGCCTGCTTTTCCATCTGGCTGGTTTGTTTGAATGGTGTATAATTACGGCGGAGCCAGTACCTGCTTGCTACCTTGATTAACCCTGGGTACAACTGCATCTCCATAACTATGCTTACATACATGCTCTGTTCTCACGGCCTTTTGCTACTCTGCTTTTTCAGTTAGCCACCCAGCAGTTGAAATATCAGGCATGTTTGGTGGTGTATGGGAAACACGGTGCTTTCGGAAACCCTGAGTGCTGTAACATGGTCTCCTTGCTGGTATGGTATTGTTTGCATGACTTGATCAGCATGGCTATGTCGTAATGAGGCTGTGTGTCATATGGCTTGTTCTCCCAGAAAATATAGGAACCTTTGGGGATGCTAAGTGGTTTGACCTCATTGCAAGTAGAGTTTCTAGTCTTGCAGTGTGGTTTCACCCTGTGTGGGGAATTCCATAACATGTCGACACCTTAATTATGTGGCTTGTTTTTCTGAAGCATGTCAAGCCCTTCCAGTACTTGAGCAGCATGATCACACACAACAAACACAGTCAGGACATGGAATGGCTTGGAAAAATGCAGACATAAACTCAGAACACCTCAAAATGCAGCCAAACTGGGTTTTCCAAGAGTGAAAATAAATACTAACAGTTTCCTTCTTCAGATAAGTAAGAGGAGGACAGAAAATACACAATATGAATGTGTGCTCTGTATATGGAAAAGGTACATTTCTGCATTGTATTTTCACCAAATAAAAGGTAGGAAAAAAACCTCAAAAGATTGTGACATGCTCAAGGCAAGGGACTAGTTACAACAGTGAATCATGAAAGAATTGGCAAATGTAATAATTGATTCACTGACAACCCTTTTTTAAATGTTTCTGTCAGCTGGGTTTGGGCCTGGATGGCCAAAAGAAAGCCATAATAATGAGGTCTGCTGACAGCCCGAAGCTTGACAGTGATCCAATGCAGAAAACAACCAGAGATGGGCAGAAAATTAACAGTGAAAAATTGTGCTCTTGTACCAAATGACAGTGATTTTTACTCCAAATTCATCAGCTCAGAATAACAAAGGGAGAGAAAGGCTCGAGCAGTCTGACTGATCTCTGGGCAACTGTGAGCCATCTATGGAGCATGGCCACATTATGGCAAATATGAGTCAGAATAGACATTATCACTAGAGATAAGGAAAGATTAATGCTACCCACCATGTGTATTGCTGCAGCTGTATCTGGAAAGCTGCATACACAGTGCTGGCCATCCACAGTCCCATTCACTCAGGTGCAGAATTGCACAGAAGTGCTGCTGGCGTGACACGTGTCTTACGAGAGGACATGCAGATGAGTGCAAACCAGATGTGAGTAAATATGGGCTGAACATTAGGAGGTTTCTAATCTGGAAAGGGCAGCATTGGGAACAGCCTTCCAGAAGGAAATGACGTACCTGACCTTAAGATAAACTTACCAAGCATGGTGAGAAGAATGAGGTGGTTTATCTGCCTCTAATAGCAGATACTGAGCTTGGTGAGACACAATGCTTCAGTCCTGTGCCCTGTTGTCCTACTCTGCTTCTGACCAGAGGTTCAAGCCTATGGTGCACTTTTATGACCAAACTTCTTGCCCAACAAAACAGGGATGTTATTGTGACAGTGCCAAGAGTGTGACCTTCCCTGCCCAGTGCCATCCATCCCAGCATGAAAAGAGGGATGGAAAAGCTCTGAAAGAACTTCAGAAAAAGTCAGCCTTAGGAGTTGGTGTGAAATTAATCAAACTCTATCAGACTGCATGCAAAGTGACTTTTTTAAACTCAGCTGGCAACCGAGTATCACTCAGCCATTCGCTCACCTGACTGGGATGGGGAGAAGAATCGAAAGAATATAAAACCTGCAGATTGAGATAAGAACAGTTTAATAACTAAAACTAAAGTACAATATAGTGATAATAGAAATAATACTGACAATAACAGTATTGATGAGAATAATAGGGAACAGCAACAACAACAAAAGAAAGATCAGAAAACACAAGGGATGCACAATACCACCGCTCATCACCGGCTGACCTATACCCATCCCCACCCGAGCAGCGATCTGGGCCTTCTGGGTGACTCCCCCCAGTTTATATGCTGTGCACGACATGCTGTCCTGTCTCTGCTTCCTCCCAGATTCTTGTGCCCCTCCTCACTAGCAGAGCATGAGACTGAAAAGTCCTTGGATCAGGGTAAGCGCTACTTGGCAACAACTAAAACAGTGGTGTGTTATCAGTGCTGTTCTCAGACTGAAGCTAAAACACAGCACTGCAGGAGCTACTAAGAAAAAGTAACTGTTACAGCTCAAACCAGGACACAAAGCCACATCTCGCTAAGTCATTTGGAATGAAAAACTGGAAACGGGGGCAGTTTGCCAATTTATTCAGCAGCTGTAGAGCTACGGCTGATCAGCAGCTTTCTAAAATTAAAACACTCACCTAAGACAGATTTTCTTCATGACCAAGCAATCTTTTTAATAGATTCAGTAAATAGAATGTTGTGTAGTAACATTTCTTCCAATCCTAAGGCAGTCAGTTATAAGTTATCCTTATGATACTGCTTTTCAATTCCTTTGACATTTTCTACTGCTGTTCTTTTTTTTTCTTTTTTTTTTTTTTTTTTTTTGCTTTAAGAAAGTGTTTTTCACCCATATTATCATTAGAAAAACCTAGACCACCTAGACAACTTTTATCTGCCAATGGATGTAGCAGGCTGTTTTACAGATACTTCTTAGGGACTCCAAGAAGTTGGGGGCAATTTAAGTTCCAGTTAAAGCTTCTTTCTTATCTGGACTAGTTAACTTTATCACTTTTTCTTTTATTTCCACGGGAGGTAACAACCCACTGCTGGGTCACTTTTCTTCTCTGTGTGCTCTTCACTGCCCTGTTTTGTGAAGCTTAGGTTTCTTCTCATCTATATTTGAAAGATAGGGAGGCATTAGGAAGCTGCAGACATTGTACTTGCCAATACTCTGACACAAGAGGAGAAGCAAATATCAAGAATTAACTCGTAGATCCCTTTACTGCTAAAATGAAGACATGTTATTTCTGTCCTCCCCAACGTCTGCAGCCATGTCAAAAGTACATCACGATAATGGTTGCAAGGGCAATCCATACCAGCTGTCAATATGTCTCACACTCAAACTGACTGCAAATCAGTTTTCTGCATTCACAGTTTAGCTTTAGCTCTTGCATATTTAGCTGTTTTCATGTTTTCCAGGCAGCATGGGCTGTGAACAAACTGTATAATCCATGTGTGCTTTTGGAAATGTTTTGCTTCACCCAAAACCAGAGTTGATGGCAAACAGAGCTTTGCAGAGGAAAGATGCTGATTTGCTTTGCAGCTTTGCCCACAGCTCAGCTGATCCTGGCTGTGTTTCAGAGCACAGATTTCAGTAACGGGAATGAACCAGCATGTCAGTCATTGGGGTCTTTCTTTTAGCACCATTAGCAATTGCAGCACAAAAGGGAAATGAAAAGAAAGAGTCATTCAGCTGGAGTTAACTGGGTCTTAGTCTTTTGTCTAGAAAATCCTTAACTTCCCCATTGAAGTCTGGTAACAAATTAAAAACTTTTGTCTGCTTGCCCCTCAAAATCAGTTCATGTCAGTAATGCTTTTAGCTTGGATAAAGGAAAAGGGTGTTGCAGGTTGGATTTACAATTCATTAAGGAAATTAATTTACTCTTCTTATACAGGGTTGAAGTGTTTGGGGCATGGGCCTAGGAGAGAGGCAGGGTAGAGAAATGGTGCTAACATGTCCTGCTTTGGGAATGCCTTTTGAGTCTCATGCTGAAAGTGAAAGGCTGTGAAAATCGTCTTATTTTCTTTATATGTGTATGAAGAATCCAGAAAGAAGGGAGGAATGAAGGGAGGGAGGGAGGAAGGAAGGGAGGAAGGGAAGAAGGGAAGAAGGAAGGGAGGAAGGGAGGAAGGAAAGAGAAAAATAAATAAATAAGGAAGGAAGGAAGGAAGGAGGGAGGGAAGGAGGGAAGGAAGGAAGGAGAAAGAGAGAAAAAAGAAAAAGAGATAGAAAGAAATAGAGAGAAAGAAAAAAGAGAAAAAAGAAAGAAAAAAGAAAGAGAGAAAGAGAGAAAGAGAAAAAAAAAGAGAAAGAAAGAGAGACAAAGGAAGAGAGAAAGAAAGAGAAAGGAAGGAAAGATTCATCTAGAAAATGTTTGGGATGTTTTACCCCTCTTCACATTCCTGGGTATTTGCAGTTTGTTTGGTTACAGAGAGATCAGTCAAACCTTCTTTGGCAGCAAAAGGGGGTGCAACACACAGGGAATAATACACCTTCCCCCGGAATGGATAGCAGCGCTAGGACAGGTCCCCAGAAAAACAGTCTCCATCCTACGCAGGGTCAGGGAAACTCCTGAAGCAGCCCATGAATGAGGGACCCCGTGTGTAAGGAAAGGGAAAGCTTCTTTCGAAATGAAACAGGAGAGGGTCTGACTCAAATTCCTCAGAATGCATGCCAGGCAAAAATAGCAGTCCAGACAAGTTGTTCTTTGTTCTTATTGATATGGTTGAGGAAACAAATCTTTGTGCATGCTCTTGTACAGAAACAAGCTGTACATTGAGGGATGCTGCTTGATAACATGGTCAAACTCCAGCATTTGTCTTTGTGGTTTCTTTGGGGGATTATGAGGTCTGCTGTGGTTTTGTTGAAGGCAATGAGCTGGTCCATTCAGGAGGGTTGAAGTCACACTTCAGAGTGTTGTAAGCATCACAATCTCATTTTTAAGTCACTGGTTTTATGATTGAGGAAATAATCCTGTGCAGAATAGGAGTTATTATTTCTTTTGGATTTCTGACATTTACCCTGATTGCATGTCTGTGTTTCTATCACTCATGTCAGAGTAAAACCTTTTCTTTTTGGCAGATTTTCTCTGTTGGAATTCACTTTTGCATTTGATATGTCAGTGTTGCATGGCTGCATATTGACTTTGTAAAACTTTTTACTTAAAATGCCAGGATAATAATATACTTTGCTTCAGTGTTTGTCATGATCCCCTTTTGTTCAGGCACTGACTGCACTTCTTTAGATGCGGATGTGAAATAAGCCTTATTAAAATCTGGCTAGATCTGATCTGTAGCATTAATTGTACAAGGTGTTAGTACCGAAAATCATAATTTGGGACGTTTCAGTACCTTTACTCCATAATATGAGGCTACATATTTGCACTACATTAACATACATGCCTTTGAGGGGTGGAAAAAATTCTTCAATAGACCCACAACCCATGACTGCTGGATACATTCACTTTTGAACTGATTTAGTATAAAAGGGAGTCTTATAACTATTTATCATGTTGAAAAGAATTCCTTAATCTTTATGAGAAGCAGACACCTACAATTATCATTCAGTAATTTAAAATGCCAGTTGCTTTCCTTTCTGATACAGATAATATACATCTATGTGTGCAGTAAAGACGTGTACTAATCACATGTTGCATTAACAGGATAGGAAAGTTAATCCCATCCCATATAAAAGTATAAATATCATTACCTGAATCAAGATGAACATGACATTCCTGGTGAGTGAATCTATTTTTGGAAAATCATAGGGTTGGAATAAGATTAAAATAAAAAAGGTCAGATTTGAGTCTGTAAAATATTCCCTGTTCCACAAAAAAGTTTGCAACTTGTTCCTTTCACAAAACCTCTGGTTTATCTTCCCTGTAATTTTGGCCTGAGAAGTTCCAGCTAAATGTTGAGGTTGACTCAGACGGTCTTACTACAAACAGACGTTGCCTATTTTTGCAGAGCAAGTTTACAAAGCAGGCTCATTTGAAATGGTGACTTGTGCCACCCTTACATCACCCCTGAATGCCAAAACTACCTTTGAACTTTTCATAAGGCAGAATTCAGTTGGTTATACTTAGGCAAAGCTGTTTTTTATCTGGTGGAAAATTTTTAAAGTCAACCTGCTCTTCAGCCAGTGCATTTTTACTCTGATTTAAGAACACAGAGAACAAACTACTTGTGGCCTGTGAGTTTAAAGATCCCACCCAGGCTTTTCTGGTCATACCAAAGCTACTGATGGCAGCCTGAATATCCTTTTGTAGCTTCTGTAGCCACTATAAACCTTCCTGCTAATGAACAAGTATTTTCTTCTGAGTTATTTATTTAATAATAAGAAATTAGGGTTGCATTTGAAACTACCATGTTATGATTTTAAGCTCCTACCCATTTTGCACATGAAAAAACACATTTTACAAAAGCTTTGGTTATGCCAGCCAGGGTTGGAGATGTCCTCTTGCATCCAGTTATCCTCTTGGATAATTTGGCAGTGTTGATTGATAAGAGTTTTTTTCCCAGATGAAAGCACTATGTGTTTGACTCCCAAGTATATAATATGCACTCAGGCATTTGGCCTCTGAAGCAGCCATAAGCAAGGCAGGCAGAGTCAAGGAGCCCACTAAAGTACGTATGGTCTGAACAAGGGCTAATTCATTACTGAGAATAACTTTGAACTGACAGAGAAAGTCAGTGCTTCTTGGTGTAGGAAAGCCAGCTAATTCTTCCAAGACTTTAAAGCACATTATTTTTAGTTCAAAATAATCATGGGCTATTAAACATAAAGAGAGAAACTGTGAGAAGCCCTGTGTCACTGAGCACGCACCAGGAAAGTCTCACTGCAGCAATTTTGTGCTCCTACATGCTGATGGAGACATATGGGATTTCAGGTCTGATACCGTATGTCTATTCCTATATGAACTAGATGCCCTTGTGTCACCCAGAGAAGATAAGTAGTCCTTTTTAAATACCCCTTTTCAAATTATTTAGAAACAAAGAAAAAGAGGTATTTCTTGAGACAGAAAGGAGAATTAGGAGTCAGCAAAATTGCTTCTGTTTGTTCTCTGCTCTCCACAGAGATGGTCACCATACCTGTATACAGTGGAGGAAGGGATCTATTCTAATCTGTTTTTTAAAGGTTATACAGGAGGTTTTGTGGAAAAGCCCAGAAATAGCTGAGGATAGCTAGACCCATGATGATACAGCCAGTACTGAGGTCTTTGTACCCAAACTGAAGGCAAAGCAGACTAACCCTGAGAAATGTGTGGTCATCGCCAGAAGAAAGATTACCGTATTAGGCCACATTTTCCAAGGAGACGATCTAATACTGAACTGGATGAGTCAGCTGAGAGGGAGCACTGTGACTAGAGACCTCGCAGGAGTACCCAGCCAGGCGTGAAGCCAATGATCTTCCCAAATCAACAATTTCAGAACAAATTACAGTTAAATAAAGAGATTTATTTTGAGATGTCTTTGGTAGCTGCATCCTTAAGCACAGTTCTGGTCTGAGCATCAGATGGAGAAGGCAACATCCAAGAAAGAATTCAAGTGGCAACAAAAGTTAAAAAATAGCATGTAGAGCTCCCAGCAAGGTTTCCTACTCTGAGCAAGGAATAGATGCAGTTTTATTTGTACCTAGTTTAGAAGGAAATCTCTGCAATGGTGAACTTGGTTCTCTCACTTACAGCCTTTTGCTGATCTCAGCCACAATTCTTGCCGAACAGCCTCCAGGGCATGGAGACAATGAGAGTTGCTTCTCAGGATCAGTGGGTTTTAAAATAATCCAGAGAAGTGCCTTTGTAAGGGAACAAACCCAGTGTGCCATATTTAAGGGGAAGGACACAATGTTTTCCAACAGAAATGGATGTGTCCTTGGCTTTGCTCATGCCAAACAGGTCAGGGTCTGAAGTACCCAATCCAAAATGAGATGGGAGGTGACTCCTGCTGCAAGTGGGGGGAACCTGAGAGGTTCAGCATTGTGGTGACACTGATCCTATGAAAGCTGTTTTCTTGCATAATTCTGGTCCAAATCTTGAATAATCTAGAATGAACGAGTTGTTTGATGCCTGGATATTTTGCAGGGATATAAGCAACACTGCCCTGACTACAACATGTGTAATCTATCTTTGCAGAGGACAAGCACTAATGATACTTTTCCAAATGCCTTATCAAGAATACTCCGTGGTAACAGCTGCTCAAGAAGAACTCATTGCAAATTTAAGCTTGTGGCATTGTATGTTTGTGATGGAGAAAATTAGCAGGGACAAGAGTGTCTGTGGTCTCAGTTACAGGCCCAGGGCTGTTCCCTCCCTTGCCCTTGTCACTGGGAGGGACAGTTGCCCTATGAGATGTCACTATTCCTACAGCTCCATAAAAGAAGTCATGCAGGTATTAACCTAGGCTATTCCTGAGACTGGGCACAACACTGTAACAGCAGGGCCAAGCCCTCCTATTTTCTCCAGCCAGAGTTTTGTCACAGTAGGCAGAAGAGCTGCTCATTTTCACCCAGCGTTTTAGCCTCTGGTCTCAGGGCACTTGCACTTCACCAGCAGAAGCAGGAAGCAGAGCAGCCTTTGTTCCTTCACCTGTGACACTGAGGCAAAAATATGCAGCTTGGGGGCCAGCCTTACAGGAGACAAACCCACCTTTTCTGTATTTGAATTGTAGAGAAGGGGAAGATTTCAGCAAATCAGAGGCAGGATTTGGCCCATTGAGTTTTTGCATATAATAGGTAGCACGTCTCAGGTGGAGAAAAATGTTCTTTAGTCAGTATCTTTTACTTTATTGCAATTACCTTTGTTATGCTAATACAGTCTTACTGATTAAAGATGCCAAGTTTCCCCATAATAGCCTTGAATTACTACTAGGGTAATGATATTTCCATTTCTAAACATCCTGTGGTGCCATCCAAGTCACATCTATATTCATGTACATACCTAATATGAATTATTCTTGCAACATTTACATCAAACATCCTTCCTGCATCAAAAATACGTAGTTAAAAAACAGCTTCCCCATGTTTTAGCGCTCATCTTACTACTGTTATTATAAGCCCTGTGCTATTACTGCTGTCTATTTAAGCAGGTTTCAAAGGATATTTGCAACACTTGGTGTACAAGGCTGAGCTCTGGGGGATGTGTGACAGTGGGTGACATTGGATGAGCTATTTGCTGGTGCTATTCATCATGCCTAATATGTCCTACTGCACCAAGGGTGCATGTGTGGTAGGCACACCCAATGATGGTGAAACATAGAAATCAAATTACTGCTGCTGAGATAATTGATTCTAGCCAGGGACAGAGGTGCAACTGGGGTGTGTCACGGCAGCTCTGTCACAGTAAAAGTGAGTGCAGCAAAGAAAACAATCACAGAGAGGTCTGACAGCGAAGCTGACACACTGGTAATCGTGTTTGGTACAGCCATGTGACAGTCTCTGGCTCAAAATCTGTAGAAATTTGTGGCATTTAAGCCACTCACAGCTTGTTTTAGGAGAGGGCTGATATGTTAACCTGAGCTTTAGATAACCTCTTGCGATGCTATCTCCATGATCTGCATTTTTATCCAAAAACTCAGTGCAGCTTGCCACTTTGCTGGCTGCCATGTTACCTGGATGTTCAGCACCTTTCAGGAGCACGCCCATGCCCTGGCCAGCTCGAGGGGCTTCAGATGTAATCTTGTTACAGCTGTCTCATACCAAATCAAGATCAAAAATTTTTTTGCTATGATTTGCTATGATGTATTAAATGTTAAAAAGATGGTGGCCATTATTAATGAAATTGAAGTCTTTCCTAGCTGAAAGTTACCATAAAATTGGATCTGAACTAATGTAATTTCAAGGAAATGTAATATGCTGTGATCTTAGATACCAGCAAGAGGTCAAACCTGCTACATACCCTCTTTTATGGTCTTCACAATGTTAGTCCAATTTGCAGAACCAACACATTAAACCCTCAGCCCTTGTGCTGTGACCCGTGAATAATACTAATAGGATTGATACGTCTGAGTGGTGCTCCGCATCAAAACTCCTGTTGAATTTGATGGGAGCTGCTCTACTTCCCGCATTCTTCCTGCAAAACCTCTGCTATCACCTCCTCTGAAAGGCACTCACAGCCCAAGCAACAGAGGTCCAACCCATGGTAATACCTAAACCACCTATAGGACAAATGAACTTTTCTTTCTTTAGCAGAAGCATAAATCTTTTTTTAAAACCAATAAAATTCTGTAGCCATGCCAAACGGGTTACACTCTCTCTCCCACTCTGGCAGTAGTGAGGAAGTTATATGATTCTGAGTTTTATATGGTTTATACTTTTTTGTAGTTCAAGTAATGCATGCTAGCTCCACTTGGATTTTGGTTTTAAATCTTCAAGTTACCAAAATACTTATCAAAATGAGAGCCTTAGCATCAGCTTCTCTCCTTTCTTCCTTGCTTCTCCCTTGCCTAAAGACAGCATCAGATTATTGTATCTATCTAGAGGCTGTTACAGTAAAAACTGTATTGCACTGAGTCTGGAATAACATTTGATGCTTATACTCACACGGAGAACCTGGTACTCTATAGATTTCTCTACTTTTGTATATTGATAAATATATAAAATACCAATATATTTATACATTTACCACCCCAGGGTATCTCCAGCCTGGCACATCTGACCCCACTGTGGGACATTAGTTTCTAGGTGGCCATCTCCAGAGCTTGCTGGAAAGTACAGAGCTCTGTGCTGGCCAGGGAACTACTCCTAGCAGATGGATCCAGGAAATTTCTGATTGACTATGGCAGGAAGGAGCAGCATTTCTGCATCTGTGAGTGAAACACTCAGTCTCCGTTCTTCTTTCATCAATGCAACTGTTATACCACTTTGCCCCAAGAAATATGCCTCTTCCCAGCCTCTGCCATGCTGCAAATTAGCCTTGAGCACTTGCAAAGCCATTTCCTCCACAATTTTAGCATGCTGCTCTCAGCATAAACCTGCTGGCAGAGTGAATACAAGGAACATCGTAAGCTAATCTTCTGTTCTGAAAGCTGGCAGCTAATTGGGGCTCCCCAAGTCAACTGCAGTGACTGCCCCTGGGAAATCCCACCTTTGTGCTGCTGCTGCTTTTGCGGAGCAAGGTTTTCTTCTAAGTCCTGCCAACAGTCTGGTTGAACTTACTGAGTTTTAACCATCCTGTAATCTATAGCTCTTGGGCTGCTATACAGCTCTGTGCTGCCAGACCTGCCTGAGCACACAAGCATTGTCTGCAGGGAGGAGGACGCAGCGGTGCTGGCTGAGAGCAGGTCTGCTCTGGTCCAGTCTCAGCTGAGTCCCACTCGTGTGTATATGCAAGGAAAAATGCAATTCACCCTTTCAGGGATAAGCACAGGTTTTAAAAGGAAATGGGCAAGCAGACATGCAGCACAGCAACAATTCAAATCTGCTTTTACAGTTGTTTATTTATTTACAGTTAAATAAATGTTTTATTATATTAGCAAATATGTTAGGGTTACCCCCTCAAAAAAACCCAAAACTTTTTGTATGACAAGCACTAGCACTGTGGGAAAAAACAAGGGCTGCAGCATGTGAGGTGTTTTCAATAAGAGTCTGAAAGCAGATCACATCAAAACTCCTATCACAGCCTGCAAGATAACAGAGATAATGGCCCTGTTGAGCTCCTGTCATTATGCTGCTGCATCTGTTGCCCTGTATCACTTGCTACCCTCTGACAACAGAGAAGGTAGCACA